ATTGCTTGCAACAGCTGTTTTGGGGGTAACATTGCCTGCAACACAGCTGTTTTGGGGGCAACATTGCTTGCAACACAGCTGTTTTGGGGGTAACATTGCTTGAAACACAGCTGTTTTGGGGGTAACATTGCTTGCAACACAGCTGTTTTGGGGGTAACATTGCTTGCAACACAGCAGTTTTGCTGATGATATTGCTGGTTAGAAGTACAAAACAATGGGATTTTACAAACCTTGTGACACTTTCGTCAATGAACATGATCCATTTACCGATACTGTTGATTTGGTATCACAATAGGTGTTGTCACTTTCCTCATCTTCTTTATCATCATCTGTTTGCTTCATCCTGTTTAGCAGTGACTGTGATTTGAAATGATTTCTTTCAGTCATCTCGCTGCATGTCGGATACTGAAACTTGTTCACTTTTGATTTATAAATAGCTGTGCAGGACTTATTTGGTTCTGCTGATGGTATAATTGTCACATGTTCTGCTACAGTCTTACACTCATCAACCGACTTAGCGGATGCTCCACGAATCACTTTGTTTGATGAAATTACCTTTTCTGTTTCAGTACAACATTCAAACACATGATTAGCAGATGCCTGGTCAGTTGCAAGAAAAATTGCTTCAGCATAGGTGGGCGAAATCTGCGAAAACATGACAGAATTGTCTAAAGAGTTACAGTTTGGCATGGTTTCATCTGTAATATGTGTACTTCCAACAGAATTGTTCTGTTGTAATGACAAGTCATGAGATGGTGGTGATGTTGATACAGTACAAGGCAAGGCACTATATTTTTTCAACAAAGGTTTCCCAACATGACAGTAATCTTTCATACTTTGTTCTCTTGAAGTATCAGCCTTTGTGGGTTTGATTTCTATTTCAGGAGGCGAGTCAAAGAGAAAAGCTAAAGTCTTCCCGATGTTACAACTAACATGTGGAGTTTGAGGACTTGAAGTCAATATTGGTGAACTATTACCGTACGTCTCTGGTCTGAAAGTGATTTTAGTGTCACAAAGTTTCTTGCTATTTTTAACACACATCAAGTTATTGTTAGCATTCTGATTTTCAGAAGAAACTGTGTTATTTCTGTTCACAGTATCACTTGCCAAATCACTGTCTTTCCATCTACCAATAGATACAACTTTTGTGGGATTATGAATTTCTGGACTTTCAGGCGCTGTCACATTTACAGCACTACTTGGATCTTCCAGGTTTGGTATTATAATTGAATGTTTTTGTCCTACAGAGTCAGATAAAGATATCTCTTTGTTGTCTTGACTATCAGAGTTTGGCATTTTAAGTAGAGGTTTGCTTTTGTTATTTTCTTGATTTTGAGATTTGGGCATTTCTAGCCGAGGTGTGCTTTTATTATCTTCTTGACTTTCAGAGTTTTGCATTTTAAGCAGAGGTGTGCTTTTGTTATCTTCTTGACTTTCAGAGTTTGGCATTTTAAGCAGAGGTGTGCTTTTGTTATCTTCTTGACTTTCAGAGTTTGGCATTGCAAGCAGAGGTGTGCTTTTTATATCTTCTTGACTTTCAGAGTTTGGCATTTTAAGCAGAGGTGTGCTTTTATTATCTTCTTGACTTTCAGAGTTTGGCATTGCAAGCAGAGGTGTGCTTTTTATATCTTCTTGACTTTCAGAGTTTGGCATTTTAAGCAGAGGTGTGCTTTTGTTATCTTCTTGACTTTCAGAGTTTGGCATTGCAAGCAGAGGTGTGCTTTTTATATCTTCTTGACTTTGAGATTTGGGCATTATAAGGGATAACTCATTGCCAAAGTCTTTTAGCTTCTCATGGTGGTTTGTTTTCCAAACGTTGCTTTCTGATACACTATCACAGGTTCCACCACTGAATAAAGATCTTGCCAAAACCTGGGAAATACAGTAGTGTAGACATTAGTCACAATTATAGAACACCAATATTTACAGGGAGTACCAGGTATTGAAATCCAATATTTTTATTTCCAGTGTGGCTGACTAGCTACCGACGACCAATTTTAATCTTTGTTTTTTGGCTGTACTTCGGCCAGTAATGAACATTAAATGGGATTTTCAAACACAGTTAACACAATGGACAGTGCAGTTAAAAATCAAGATATATATATAGAGAGAGAGTATTCCACCAACATATTATTCAAATTAATCCACGGAATGATTTATTACGGAACAGTACAGAACAGCTCAAGCAAGCAAACTTTACTTCCAGCTGGTTCTCAGCTGACATTACCTTTCCATAAAAACAAATTTAAAGTGTGTACTCTTTGATATAACTCTTTCTTTGTAGTATTTAACCAAGTTATTTAAGATCTATCATGGCTTTGAAAGCGAGCTAAGCCTGCATGAAGATAGCTAATGTTCAGTTGCACTTAAACTATATTGTTAATTGTACATTATTTTCTGCAGTCAAAAAATAGTAACAAGTTGAACATAACAGGGAAAATGCAATAAGCCAAGCCATGTCCAAAAAAAAACTTATGATTTTCAACAAATCAACTATCATACCTGAGTCTTTCTTTGAATACCATCTACATCATTCTTGCAAGCAGATCTATTTTTATGATCAGACACAGTTCCAGTAGGGGGTGTGGCCAAAGAACTTGTCCACGACATAAAAGACTCATTTAGGTCAGCTCCAAGACTTGCAGACACTCTCTGTGGAGTTTTCTATAAAACACAAGGCATACAACAGCATAATTACAAATACACATGTATCTCAGCGCTTGGTACATAAAGTTGCTACATATTGTCTTTTTTTTGGATTGCTTGATCAAAATATGAATACTAAATACATTTAAAGAGAATTTCAAAAATAAATTTAATATTTGAACACAAATGATGACACAAATGATGTAAATATGAATCCGACACTAATACACATTTTGTCAAAAATAGTATTTATAAACTAAAATTGCAGAAAGGGAGGAAAAGCTACCATCATATGAAATATTAAGGCAAATGAGTTGGTGATTTTTGCCTATTTGCCTACATGTATAGTACTGATCCAGCATGCAATTACCCTCTCAAAGGCACAAAACCATAAAAAGTAACTGATTTGACACACAAAATTTAGGAAGGGTTGGTTTACCAAAAACACACTTTTATTTTGCCTAATAAAAATGCTTTCATATTGTATGTATAGTTGAACAGTCATTTTCATTAAAAAAAAAAACCAAAATTACATTTACCTTACTACCAAAGCAGTGACATAAAAGACAAAGAACACAATATAAAGACCTGCTTCAGGATTGAATGACAAGGCAGCAAAAAATCATTCCCCAATGATTGTTTACATAAGACTGAGCACAGTCGCTAGGCTAGGATAGGAGAACAACGGACAAAGTACAAATTGCTGACACAAAATTGTCAAAAGAATGTTTTCCATGGATAATACAACCGGTGCGACCATGGATTATGTAAGGCCGATCAAACTAAAAAAAAGCCTGAAAAGAGGCTTACACAAGAACAGGTGGCAATATATAAAGAGTCAAGGCACTGTCATTATTTGTCACTCTCTTTGTAAGTTAGAATATTCACATCACTTAATCCCTTGAGTAAATATACATATGATAGAAAAGGCACTAATGACAAATAGAAAATTCAATGACTGTATTCTAACTTGGTTGTGCAGATGGAAGTTGCATGGCATTAAAAAAAAGATAATAATCTCATGAATTTCTGTTCACAGTTCCTTGAAAGGGGGTTTAAATGTAATTAATGAGCACACACACTGTGGTGACACGCAGTTAGACAG